CACACACAAGCTGTTTCGTGTCTTCAGATCAGTGGCTCTTTTTTTTTTTTTTAAAGATTTATTTATTTGACAGACATCACAAGTAGGCAGAGAGGCAGGCAGAGAGGAAGAGGTGGGGGAGGAAGGCTCCCTGCTGAGCAGAGAGCCTGATGTAGGGCTCGATCCCAGGACCCTGGGATCATGACCTGAGCCAAAGGCAGAGGCTTTAACCACCCAGGCGCCCCAGATCAGTGGTTCTTGAAAGTGAACCAGCATCAGACTCACCGGGAGGCCTGTTACTACCCAGCTTGCTGGGCCCCACCCTGATAAGGGTCGGCCTGAGACGGAACCAGAGACCCTGCATCTCTAACAAGCCCCGGGGACAAAGTCGATGTTCTGGTCCGGCACCCACTTTGAGAATCAATCACTGTCCTATTAATTTCTAAGGCATCTTCAGGAGATCGGTAGCTACAGTGTGAACGCACTCTGATAGGGAGTGAGGTATGAAGACAGAGGGCTCTGGAACAGAAAGGGGTCAAGGGCCCAAAGACAGGCCAGCTGAACAAACTCAGATCTTCTCAATTGATCCACCAATGCACAAGTGCCGTGGGCTATGCAGCCGCTGCTGGGCCTCTGACTCTGGCTTTCTTTCCTGATGTCTTCTGCCTGCGGCCCCCAGAGGAAAGGCGAGGCTGCTGGCAGCGTCCCAGCAGCCCAGGCGAGGATGGGGGGCTCCTCCCTCAGCCACGGCGGCCCCTCCAGGAGGAGAGTGAGTTCACACAGCTGATATGGCTGTCAGCGTGCTGTGGGATCTTGGGGGCTCCTGACACCACGTAGAATTTGCACAGGACTCAGCCGAGTCTTAAACAACATTTCTTTTTTGCCTCTTTGGAGACCCTCTGCTTCCTAACAGGATAAATTCAAAGGAAAACATGCTCTGACCCTTCAGCAGCCTCTTGATACAGACAACAAGGAACTCCTTAGCGGGCTGGCTGAGGAGGTGGGTGGGGAGGGCTTCATCACAGGAGCAGAGGCTAGGAAGCCACCTATCAGGTGGGGCCTCATGACTCCCCTCTTGCCCCATCAGGAGCTGGTTCTGTATGTCAGTGGAGAAGGAACTGAGACTTGAATGTCCACATGGTATCATCAGGGTGTCTACTGGGCAAACAGTTCTGTTAGTGATTTCGCCCTTCGTACATCTGAAAACACTTTGACATCCTCCACGTGACTCTATCAAGAATCCTGGGAAATCACCAGAATGGGAACAGTGACTGTTTGACAGAAGACCACTGAGAAAAGAGGCACAGAAAAACCAGTGGGCATAGAGTAGAACCATGTGTGCTGACCACACATTGTGAGATCCTGAGTGGGGGGTCTCTTTCCTAGGCCCTGGTTTTGTCATCTGTGAAATTATGGACAAGGTGATGGTGAAGCCTTCTGATAGATCTACTCAGGAACGAGCTGCTCAAAGAGCAGGACTGGCCTGAGGTCAGTGAGGTAAGTAACAGTGACTCAGAGAGACGAGTGCCCCCTAAGCTGTTGAGTAGGCCATTAGAGCACTCCACTGCCACCCACTGCAATCACCCTGACAGTGTGGGCTAACTGGGAACTCCAGTTGCCTTCTGGACCTGGCAAAGACCGAGGCCCCCAAGGGAGGGATGGTAAGAGAGACCCAGAATGCTCTCGGACTGTGTCTTCAAGTCCCAGGGAAGCCAGCTGCTCACTGGAGAAGAGAAAGCCATTTCCTTCGGCACTTCCTTTCACCAGGTGAACTCAGTGGACACGACCCTGGATGGCAGGCCCCGTGCTAGATGAACAGATGTGGAAGCGAAGGAGACTCACTGTCCACCCAGGAGGGAGTCACAGTGAGGAGTGGGAAACCGGGTGGGTGGTGCTCAGCCAACGGGCCAAGTCCAGCCACCAGTCAGGTCACAAAGTCTGGCCCTGGCCCTGGGCTGAATCAGCATGAAAAAAAGGAGTGCCCTTTTATAACCCACACCTAGGCGCTGACTGCTGCCCAGGTGAGCACCACCTTCTTCAAGGTGAGTGCAGGAGCCATAAGACTTGAGGAAGGCTCAGGTTCAGAGTAGCTCCCAGGCGGACACCCTCTGCCACACACACAGGGGAGAACAGATGCACACGTCTGACCCCCGCCAACCCCCTGGCTGGAGAAATTATGGGCCTGCTCTCTTTCTGAGACTCAAACCCTCTACACACATGCAATCCGTGGACCCAACTAGCTTCCCACCCGTGATGTGCTGGTAAGTGACTGTTCTCCCACCTGTTCAAGATGGTCAAGAGATCCACTAGGCCAAGCCTCAGGCACAGTGATCAGACTCCATGGGGGAGATAAGGTGCACACGACATGCCCTCAAGAACCAAGGGGCTCTCAGCCTCCGGGAGCAGAGAAGAGGCAGACGCAAATACCCACGGGACAGAGGAGAGAATGGGAGATGCTAGAAGGTCCAGGTTATGGGTTGGGGAAGAACCAACAGGGAGCTTCAGAAGAAGGGAAGGCTAATTTCAACTGGGGACCAGTTGGCCTTCCAAAACAAGATAGAGCCTGGAGGGACCATGCCTTAGGATGCGAGAAGGCCCCAGTTCTAAAGCCTCTCCCGCCACAGTCGGCCAAATCATCTCAAGACAGCTGGTTCTCTCCGATTCCAGACAGACCATTTGCCCTAAGTGCCTCACAGCTTTATGAGAACTAAATGAGAGCTGATTTAAATGCACACTGGGTCAATGAAAGCACCAAATATAAAGTTTTTGTCATCACTCGGCTTAGAATGAGGAGGTAACGAGGGAGGCTGAAAGTACATGAGGGAGAGGGGGTACGAAGGGGTGCGGGGGACACCTGCCAAAGGCAGGGCTCACGCAAACACCCACTGGGCTCACATCGGGCTCCAGGGATTTTTTTTAACTCCCACAGATAATTTTATTGAAGAGACTCTAAGAAGATATGTCACAACACCTAAATTCTTCAGCATCAGGAACATGAAAGTCCCAACCAGAGAGGTGTCTTCCCAGCCCCAAGGGACAGGAACACAGCCACTTACAGTTGCCGGCCAGGGAACCAGGGCCGGGGTCCGGGGTGCTCCGCAAACACTCCTTACATAAACGGACGGGCTCCTTACTGCCTCCAGTGGGGCTTTACATTCATGCTCCATGTTGACTTGTAACCACAAGCCAGTAGGGCAGATGGCATCTACTCTCGTCCCTGTCAAAGATGGGGAAACCAGGGCTCCCAGAGGGCAAGTGACTATCCACATCCCCGGTTAGCACTGCCAGAAGGGAGCCTGGACCCCTGCCTCCTCACCTCCTTACACTACGCTCTTTCTAAGAATTGTTATGGCAGCCGATCTTCACCCCAACACCTTTCCTGACTTTAGAGACGGTCTCCCGCGTGCTGTTCGGAGCACTCTCCCCGGAAAATGTCGCTTAATCAGACCCTTTCATCAAGGGAGATCCTGTTCTTACTCCCAAAGGTACTGGTTTATTGCAATTCAGAAAGTGGTTTTGTGTATCCCAGAAATGAGTGTCATGGATGCTCTGGTCCTTTCACCAAATAAGAATTGATTTGGGTTAAAACCTTCAGTTTGATTGTTTCGAGTCATTGCTTCTTAGAAGAAAGCGAAGGGTATTAGGAAGACAGAAGGGCATTATTATAATTATGGTTGTTGTTGTTTTTTTTTTTACCATGGATACTCTTTGCCTACAAAGTCAACTGTCAGTGTTAACAGATGGCCTAGCCGCAGGAAGGGGGGACGGGGGCAAGCTCTTGGTTAAGGTGGCACTAAGGAGTTCGAACCAGCTGGGCTGATCTGGGGTCTGAAATCTGGGCTGGAGCCCAAGTTCTAGCCAGTGAGGGTGGGACAGGGAGCCCTGCCTCCCCCTCCCCCGGATACCCTCTCACTGTAGCTACCCCATGCAGGTCTGTGCCTTTCTAGGAGTCTGTGACCTTCTGGCTGCGGCAAATAAGGTAGCAAGGGAGAGCAGAAGAATGGGGCCTCAGAGAGAAAGCTGAAGCATGTTCAAGGTCAGAGCTACCCTCCCCTTTCATGACCTACCTCGGCCACTTTGGCTGACCTACTTCCTAGGGAATGTTTTCATTCTAATAAAAATTCATGGTTCAAAGGTTTTGGCAGAAGGGTGGAAATCACACCCACTCCACAGCTCTGTTGAGGGATGCCTGGTGATATGTGCTCGGGCTGAGGGGCTCAGAGGCTCCCCTAAATTGGCAGGAACCAGGGGTGGGGGAATAGAACTTCCAAGGATTCCCAGTTCCTGAAGGGAGCAGTGGATTAGTTAAGAAGAGGTCAGGGGCCTTAACAACGAAAGTCCACATGTCCATCAGTGTGGCTGGGTCAGCTCTGATCTCTGCAGCTGGAAGAGCATTTAACTCTGACCAGGGGGTCTCAGGCCTGTCCAGACACCTCTAGTGTATGTCAGTGAGAGGCCAGAGCACCGTGGGACCTGGGAGAGCTGAGCCATTAGCTAGACAGCGTACGCTGAGGATGAGTTTACCAGATTCACTGTTCGTGCCCCCTGTCCGTGGACAGAGAGAATGGGACACAGAGTAGGGGGAGGAGGCAAGGTGAACCAGAGCATAAGGCTGGTGTGCTGGGGAGCCTCACGGGGAGCCCTGAGCAGACAGCAGGGAGAGGGGGTATTAGGCGGATGGCAGAGATAAGAGGATGCTAGAGGCAAATTCACCAACCACAGTCTTAAAGTCATAGAGTTTAGAGCTGGAAGGCATCTTCGAGATCATCTTCTCCAACCCCCTCTTGCGAAGCTAGGAATTCTGGGTCGTGGCCACAGTGTAGAGCCAAGCCTAAGAGCCAGGTCACCACTCCCACCCCCTGCCCAGCCAGCTGCTGCTTGTGAGGCCAGTGGTCTTTCTGGCACCCTCCAGTCTCCCCCAGGTACGGACCCCAGCCCCCCGGCTTCAGTGAAGCTCAGTGACCGTGAGCATCCTGGAGCATTCCGGGAACCATCCCACCAGCCATTCCAGCCAGCCATACCTTGTGTGAATAATGCTGGTCAACGATCCTTGCCAACCCGAAGTCCCCGATCTTGAGCACGAGGTCCTCTGTGCTGATGAAGATGTTGGCGGGCTTCAGGTCCCTGTGCAGCACGTTGGCCGAGTGGATGTACTTGAGCCCTCGGAGCAGCTGGTACATGAACAGCTTCGCGTGCTCCTCCGTCAGCGTGCCCTGCTCCAGCAGGTGCGCCAGGTCCGTCTCCATGTGCTCCTGGACGATGTAAGCCACGCTGAACTTGAACAGCTCGCCCTGCAGGTCGGTGCCCTTGGGCCCCAGCACCTCGTACACCTTCACGATGTTGTCGTGGTCCAGGCGACGGATGATCTTGATCTCCCGGAGGGCGTGCTTCATGCTGCGGGCGTCGCTCAGGACGATCTTCTTGACCGCCACCTTCCGGCAGGCCCTGCTGTCCACGGCCGACAGCACCAGCCCGTTGACGCCAAAACCCAGGGGCTGGAAGTCAACAAAGCGCCCACCAAGGTCATACCCATAGACACTGGCAATGCAGTCCCCCTTCTCAGCCATTGTCAGCTCAGTGGTCAGGGTCCGCCCGGGCGATGGAGGGGCGGTCAACGTCGGCCAAGCCCCGGGGAGCAGCCTTCCCGGCACACCTCATTCTGTCGAATCCCAGAGCTGAGGGTTGCTTTTTCTCGTGGTGATGTCACTGCCACCAGCCCTCTGGAGATAGGAGTGGCATCTGTCCATGCTTGCTGAGCTGCGGAAGGCGAAGGCTCAGACTGTTTTCTTGACCCGCGTCAGGAGGGCTGTCCACCAACTCCTTGGTACTCTGAACTCTCCTCGAAATTTAGAATGGCTCATGCTTTCTTCAAATGTAGCATCTTGGAGAGAAAAACCAGTCTCGTGATCTATGTGACTGTGATGTTTCCTACCGTAATGAGCCTCAAGGTAAAAGATCCAGAAACTCTCCTCTTTGAATCTTGTGTTAAAAAAGACGTTCCTTCTGGCTGAAATGCAGAGCTGTGGCTGGGCTGAGCTCCTGGACTTCTGATGGCCCAAAGCTCAGTTTTATCACAGCATCCAGCAGCCTGGTAGCTCTTCTCTGCATCCCAAGCAGGATGAAGGGATCCCAGCAATGGATTCTGGAGGCCTCCAGGGGCTTCTTTCTACTTCTGCCGGCTCCCCTTTCTAGCAGCTCCCCTTAGATGCTGCGACCCAAATCAGGCTGGTGGGCACTGGCGAAGAAAGCCGGAGAAACCCAACCACCTTTCTCGAGCTCTACACCAAGTTACCCCGGAAGTCCCAAAGCCGAGGGGCACTCAACTGCCACGCCAGGATCCTCCAGAGGCCTCCGACGGGGCTGCGTCCTTGGTCACCCCTTCCTCCACGCCACCTTGCACAAGACTGTGCTGTTGGACTCGGACAGGCTGCAGGAACGCGGCATCTTTCAGACCATGTTTCCTTTCCTGTCAAAGAAATAACGTTGGGTAAATTTCCACACTCCAGCCTCCACACCTTCCCACTTGCGTGTCCTTTGTTAACCAGCCCAAGTGTTATTTGATCTGTCCAGCCAGCTGAAACACTGCTTGCTCAGGGGATTCCAGGCTCTACGCTGCCCAGCCGCCCCTCCTGCTGTGCACAGCGCTCCCCTGGAAGGGAGAGAAGATGGATTGATTTGATAAGATCGTCAAATGGTGTGCCTTTGATGTAAATGCCTGCTCCCCAGAGGTTCACACACCCAAATTGTGGGTGGGAATGATCTGCTCTGACTTTTGAGAAATTAACTTGTGATGCTCTCTAAACACATACCTCAGTACTAGCTGGGAAGGCTGAGAGTAAAAAGTAACGTGCTGCAGACAGAAAATAAAGGAGCAATAATTTTGTGTTTCTGCTTGGACCCCTTTGCTTCTCCCTTTCGCAAATGTCTCTGGATATTTTGAGAGAATTTGCTGATGTTTAATTACATGTGTATCTCTTGCTTTCCAAAGAGGCAGCTTAAGCACACACACCAAGTAAGAGAACTTTATTACCACCCTGTAAAAGGGACTCTCTGCCCAGCAAAGAAGGGCACAGACTTAGCAAGACACCAGGACCGGCATGGTGAACTGTGTTCTCTTTGATGATGAGGATGTAGCTCTCTGCAAAGCAATGGCTCAAATCCTATCCTGACTGCCCCCTGGTGGCTGCTGACTCAAATTACAGGCACAGGATCTAAGCGGGAGGGAAAAAACTGCAAAACAATGTAAAATCAGACCTCTGGAGTAAAGGCAATGTCATAGCTCTTAAGGGAGTGGCAGGTTTTACAAGTTTATTAAGTCCACGGACATTCAGAGAACAAATACTGTATGCTGCACAAAGGAGTGAATTTCAGAGCTATTTCTTAGTTCTCATCACCCCGTTGGATCCTCTATAGGGATGCTTTCGTATCTGAATTTTGCACAACTCTGCAAATGGTAAGTGAGGCAAAACAACAGTTAGCTCAATGTCTGAAATTAAGGGGGCAAATCAAGGGACACAGATGATCTGAAATAGTAAATAATCAGATCCCCTCTGAAGACTTATGACAGATTTGCCAAGGGTCTGGAACATAGTAAATGCTCAGCAGATGTTAGCTATTTGACAACTTTGCTAAAAATTCCCTTGTACTTGAGTAAGATGGATGTACTATTCTAATGTTTTGTCAAGATCTTCAGTGATTCTACTCTGCATGTTTTTACTGGTCCCAGCAGCAAAATAACTTTGGTCTTAAAGAAATTTCAGACTGGGAAGCAATCACAGCAAACAAGTCTAGTGGTCCTTAACCGGGGATGGTGCTGCCCTGTCTGGTTAATTTGACTAGGAGTCACTATTGGCCTTGGAGAGGCAGGGCCAGATTGGCTAACCATCCTGCCAAGCAGTTCTGTCAGTGAGTAACTGACACGAACCCCCAAATGCCAGCACGTTCACTGCGAGACCATAATTCTGGTCCAAGTCCTCACTTTGGGACTTTGAGAGCACTGAGGTTCAGAGGAGGCTAGCTCAGTGCTTCTAGCATAAACAGGTTCATAAACATTTGATGAATCGAGAAATGACTACCATTCACTCTGAGGATTCCTTGCCAGTTAGGGACAGTGCTGGGACCACCCTCTGTGCCATATTCTGCGGCCCATGCAGTAATGTCCACCTGGATACCTAATTCAAGGGAACCAAAGAATCACCCCAGTCCCGCATTCTGTTCTCTCTCCCTGTGCATTTGGTAACAGAAACCAAACTGGAGCTGCTTTCACTCTCTATCCATATGCCTGGTCCAGTTCCCAAGGGCACAGCAAACAGGCAATTACATATTTTGCTTTATGAGAAGAGATGCTTAAGCCTTCTTCCCTTGCCAGCTCCCACTGGGTTGTAAACAGACAGGACTGAGCACCTAAGCAGGGAGGGGATGACATCACCAGCAAATGAGAGCAGGATTTGTTCCAGATCAGCTGCAATGCAGATAATCTGTGAATAATTAAGAGGTGCTTTATTTATTTTTAAAACTCTTTCCTCTTCCTCTCACATGGGGCAGGGACCACCTACCCTGGGCGCGCGTGTGTGTGCACACGTGTGTGTGCACACGTGTGTGTGCACACGTGTGTGTACGTGTGTGCCAGTGGTCTCCCTGATGAGCTATCAGCTCCAGCGGGCAAGGACCGTGTCCCCTTGGGAAGACTTGCTTCCAGCCACTTGGCCTTTCTCATAGGCCTCTAAGTACACTCTTTCAATTCCTGCCTTCCTTCTTTGCCTGCACCTTCCCAGTTCCCGAAATGTCCTCCTGCTTCCTCCCCACTTGCTGAAATCCTACCCATCACTCAGAATCCAGATGGCATCTCACTTCCACTCCAGAGTTCTCATTCCTGGAGTGTCCCCGGTAACATTCTCCCTGTTCTCCACTCCTGCAGTGTTTGTGCGTATGCTGTCTGTGACATTTACCATATATGAATCTGGGCTGCTAGGTAGCTTTTTATCCATGACCATCTCCCAGCTAGACTTCAAGCTCCTCGGGTTCCAGCACAAAGCTGCCCTTGGACAATGACTGCGGCTTGGGAGTGTCTGAGAACATCCGTCCGTTATGTCTACAAAGTGGTCATGCCCACATTTCCTGCATGGTCAGCCTCCCCTCCCTGTGTCTGCTGCCTCAATACAACTTGCTCCAGAAGGTTCTTCTCACGACAAGCCCCAACTACCCAGATACACTGCCACCCTCTTGGGAGCTCCTTCTGCTCCAGAATTCCAGCACTAAGCAGGCAGCCCTTGACCGGCCGTTTCTCTGTTCCCGTGTGAGTTTACTGTTACTCATCCCTTCTTAGTCCTCTTTACTTTCTCAGTTTCTAGAATTCCTCTATAATTTCCCCGGTAAACCTTCTGCCTTTCTCCACAGGTGGGCTGATTACAAAACACGGAGTCCCTAAGACGTCTTGGATTAGTGGTTCATTGTTTGTGTGACACACCAGGGGGCGTGGGCCCACGGGTCCTGGAGAGGGGCAGACCCAGCATCTGGAGATGTGCCCACCTGGGCAGAGGAGTGATTCTAGCAACTTCTTAGGGCAAAGCACAGACATTCTCCGTTTGAATTTGGTGGCTCAGAGCTGCTCTGAATCAGGTGTGACTTCCAACCAGGGAGTTGGCATTCACCTTGAAGGAAGGAAAGGTCATGGGTTCAGCTGTGCTCGAATGACAATGAGCAAGAACACGTGTAACTCCTGCAAGGGCAGCCCGGGCTCCGGTGATTCATGGTGAATGTCGTCATAAAATTCAGGAGTAGAAATATCTATCCCCAGGACTGGATGGAGCTAGCAACGGAGCTTCATCTCTCCACTGATTTCTCCTGGACTCTCCCGCAATACCTTATCTTGAGGCCAATTAATTATCCTCTTACGAATCCAGCCTTCTAACATGTGGAGGCAAACCAGAGACGAGATGGTGTGTGCCAACTGTCCCTTGCTGGGTTTCCTGGGGATCTGGTTTACAAAGCGGCTTTGGAAAGTCTAAATTTAGACTCCATTCTGCCTGTTCAGATCCTCCCAAGCCTCATGCTACCATCACCTTTCAGCAGGAACGATGGATGGCCTCCGATGAGGTGCTGATATTTCACAGACAGAGCTTTCTTTTCTCTGCTGAGCACCCAAAAACTTGCAGGAAATCCTTTTCAGGCAAGGCTAATGTTTACAGTTGAACAGGCTGCGCACTGCAAAAATTCTAGGTGGCACCATTCACGTTAGAGTCAAGTCTGTCTGACTCTAAGGTTCGTGACCCTAATCACTATAGCCCATGTGAACGAAGTCCTCTAGACCAGAGATCAGCAAATTTTTTCTGTAAAGGGCAAGAGGATAAACACCTAAGGCTTTGCAGGACAGACCTTCCCATGTTGCAGCTACTCCAGCCTTGCTTTCCAGCACAAAAGCAGACACAGATAATACCCAAAAGGGCATGGCCGCATTTAAAAAATGTTTATTTACAAAAAGAGGTGGGAGACTGAATTTGGTGAGGAGGCTGCAGTTTGTCGCCCCTGTTCTAGACGGTGTAGGAACATTCTCTAGCTTGTTCCCGAGGTGGCACTGAAGTGTGCTATGACTCAGACCTTTCCCGCTCCCCGTGCATGGTCTCCTTCCTTCTGGCCTCAGTCCTCCAGCTGCCTCTCACGGTGGCCCAGCCTCAGGCCTGTGTGCCCTCCCAGGGAGCTACCCTAGGCCATTGAGCTCATCTGCAGGTTTCCTGGCCTCAGGGCCCACAGGCTACCCTCTGTCTCTGTGGTTCTCGGGTACTGCTGACCGCCTCACTCCTACTCAGCTGGCCTTTACCAGAGGCTATTTGGAGAGGCAGAGAAGGTGAGGTGATGAAGACAGGGTAGCCGCCCAGACTGAGAGGTCACCATGGGCCAGGAGCTGCGCCTGAGGATTTCGGTTTGTGTCATGCTCCCATGAAGACCCCAGAGGGAAGTGACTTGCCCAAAGTCACCCCACTAGCAGTCGACGTCTCCAGAGGTGACCTCTCAGCACAGTTAACACGTGATCTGAGCCCAAGTGAGTGACACTCACCACGAACCACCTAGGGCCCATGTGACTTCCAAGGCCCAAGGAAGGGAAAATTGGGGGATAGGCACACCTGTGGCACTTCCCAAAGGAAAGCAGCCCCAGTGTGGAGACCTCGATTCCCTGCCCACTTTATGGAAACAGAAACTGAGAAACAGAACATTAAAATGAGATTAAGAGTTAAGAAAAAAACCAAAACCAAAACCAAAAACTGCAAGCTTAAACCACCATCACAATCCCTTCCAACCAGTTCTTGACCTCTTCTCTCACGTAAGCCTCAGGTACACCAGAGCCCGGGCTGCAGAGACCGGCCATCCCAGGCGTGAACGGAGCTGAGTGTTCTCCCAGCTCCCTGACCTCACAAGGTCCTGGTGCTGACATGGGCCACCAACCAGGAACCATTCCCACTTCCTCCGGGAGAACAAAAACAGGTCTGGGTGAGCCATCAAGCAGCTGAGCCCAACCAGGGATGACCCACGATGGTTCCGACCCAAGGTTTCTCAGCCTCAACGTGACTGACACCGTGAGCCTGGTCATTCTCAGCTGGGGAGCTGACATATGCACTCTGGGATTTTGGCAGTGCCCCTACATGC